TAACACTACATATATACTATACTATACATACTATAACACATACACTATATATATATATATATATATATACTACTTATTATATATATATATATATATATATATACCACAAAATGAAAACATTTATCGTACCTGCATCAATCTTATCCTCCTCATCCTCCTCAGCAGTTCCCTCTTGCTTGGTGTGTGCATTGTTTAAGATGGCATCAACCTTCTCAGGCGCTCCTTTGATAGGTACAAATACATACGGAGACGCATCGTTGTCAGCAATGCGTGAATCCTGTTGCGATCTGTGCACTAGTTTGAATGTGACTGCATCTTTTTTGTTTATGAACTTTGATTTCCCCATAGTAGCTCACTTGTATGTGTGTGTATGTGTGTTAATATGTATGTATGTGTGATACTATGTATGTATGTGGTATAGTGTGCACTCCTCACAACATATAATATCTAGTTTTTAGTACAAGTATCTCTTAATATACGATATATATATATATATATATATACATATATATATATATATCTATATATAATTAAAAATATGTATGACATATACACCCATCATATATTCATCTTGTTTTCCATTTGACCAGGCTTGCATAGAGCGCACGTGTACTCCATAAACACATTACACACTCGAAATATCAGCAGTTTTTTTAATAATATTTTTTTGTTAATAAGAGCCAAAAGAAAGGCACAGTGGAAGTATAGGTGATTATATAAACCTACTGTTCACTATATACTCGCGAATTCGTATGCAACAAATACACTTTGTTTGGGACTGTAGCGGTAATAAGAGGCCTATAGTACCTATTGTATATTGATATATACATACATATACATACACACACATACAGGTTTACACACAAATCGATAGATATATATATATAAATATATCTATATATACTTATACATACACAAGCATATACATCCGTAAAAGGATACGGGGAACTATAATTTTGCACTGAACGTCCACGCTAGTAGATAATGGAATATCTTGACACAACTGGAGCGGCCGTTGGGCAGCAAAGAATGTAAGTGCACTTTCATATCTATTGAGTTAGGCTGTTGCATATTTTCTACTGTTAATATTACATTATGTATACATGTACATATTACAATATGTACATTTATCTATACATAGCATATATCTATATATATATATATATACATATACGTGCACATGTACTCAATTAACATACTGGAACTACATATTCATATATGCACACGTATGTCGGGGCTTGTTCGTACATACTAAGATGCAACCAACTTTATTTTAAAACAAACTTGTCGAAAGTCATAAGCTTTCTGCACACTACAACGTGAATAATTTACATACACACAGCTGGTATTCATATATAAACCAGCTATTATCTGTTCTGAGAAGCGTCTGAAGTAGCTACGAGATAGTATTTTACTGATTCGCATGTATATCTAGAGTGTATGTGCACATACTTGTGTGCTATAGTTGTGATGGTTGACTTTCATGAGTGATGTAGCATCACTATTCGTTCATTGTATACCGAGTGAAAATCGTTATTCTATTGTGTGAGAATTGATCGGTAAATCATACATCAGAGTATAGACATGGGTAAAGGTATTTTATATAATGCATATATATATATATATATAATATATATATATTATATTTATGTTAAATCTATATATATATATATATATATATTTAAATATATATATATATATATATATATATGTATGTATGTATGTATGTATGTATTTATGTATAAAAATATACATTTAGCACACTCCTTGAACGTATCATGTTAAGTATGCATTTGTATACACACACATATATATATATATATATATATATATATATATATATATATATATATATAGTACTACGTAGTATATACTATATTATTTTACGTTTTTAGTTTAGTTTACGTTAACGTAACGTAAGGTAAAGTTAAGTAGTTA